ATTTAAGGATATGCAAGTTACCAGACAACAGTATCAAGGTTAAATTATGAAAATTGTCTTAAATTTTATACAGAGAATTAACAATTGAGCCATACAGGTTTCCAAAGATTATTGAGTCTACTTTCTAGCGAAATAAGCTGAATTAAATTTGAAGTCTCCTATGAATAAATATGTAATTTTTATTAGAAAATATATATGATGTTTGTAGTAGATATGATGTGGATTTCAATATTTATTACAATTAATCTACAAGGAATTAAAAGATAGGCCATATATCGTTAGAAAGTATATCGAGTCTAGTTTTTAATGCATTAAAAAGATCTTAATTATGAGTTAGATATCTTGAGATATGACTGTTTTAGTTAAAGGAACTTAGACTATCAATATTAATTAGTTGAGTTAACTTTTGTTTATCTTAATTGTATTTTTGTATCATTGGTCTCGAAATGATTTGATTAATTTCTATTATGTTGAAATTATCTTGAATAGACTATTAATTACTTTGAAGGAAAAACTAAGTGGTGAAATCGAAAAGAGGAAAGTAAAATCTCACACACTTTACTTGTTTTTGAACCTATGTATATATGTATATTTTTAAATAAGTTAATATTTTATTTCATTATTTTCGATATATGAAAATAGGACTAAGCATATGATTATTTTATGTTTTTGCTATGTAAATGATGGATCATGCTTATGAATGAAATGAGAAAATGATTTATGTTTAAGTAATGATTTTATGATAGCTAAGTTTTTATATCCCTGGGAAGTAAGATTATTGACATCAAAACTAGTTTTATGGTCTTGACTAATGGGTAATATTAGTTAGCATAGATATGATCATACGGCTCTACTAATAGGTTATAATAATTAGCGTAAGGCCCTGGCCAACGAGTTATAATGGTTAGCAATGATTATGAGAATGAAATTGTCGATACGACCAATGTCACGGATTATAGCAGCGATCGTAACTAATGATAAACTAACGATGAACTAATGATTTATGATGATGATAATTTATGGTGACTTTAATAATTGATCCATGATTTAATTTGATTACGATATTTGAATTGTAGCATATTTTGCAATGATTTATGAATTGATATGTTTTGATATTGATTTATGATATACGAAATATTTGACATAATGATACGGAAATGTTTTGACATTATGATTTGACGAATATTTTGAATGATCTATATAATATTTATGAAAATGATGCTTGATCCGATAAAGTGTGTGAGTCTATACTTGTTGAGTTGTGGTTTACTCATTCTTTTTTTACTTTTTTTTTACAGATGAGTAAGTGATAAATTTGCTTAGTTTTGTGAAAAGTTAGAAGATCAAATGGGAAAGATTACGTAGTCATTGGAGACAATGTTGGCCAATGAGATCTTATGAAATGGTTTTGTATTTTTATATGATTTGTATTTAGATATATAAAGATGTATCATTAGTTGAATTAATGTTATTGATTTTACTTGGTAGATTATATTATTTTATTGAAAAATTTTAGAATGATTAAAAAAAAGATTTTATATTATTTTGGAGTTTTACTTTAATGTAATATGATCATATTGCGTCTTGATCTCATGACGTGACAGTTTTCTTTGGTCAATTGTTAGATTAATGCAGTACAAGTAACCATTTTCATTTAAAAATTTTTTTTTGTTTTTAAATTTTGTCAAAACAGAATGGCAAATACAATGACCAAAATATACATGTCCATTGCTTTTGACCATAACTCTTTCTCCTAAATGTCATGTACTTGTTTTTAATGGTGACAATACAATCTAATCTGGTGTATCTTTAGCGGGAGTCTAAGTGAATCAAGTTACTCATAAATTATTTGAGCTCAATTTGAAAAAAATTTGAGCTTAATTCATTCATTGTCAATCCGAACTTGAACTCAAATTCAAGATACTTGAATAATGAGTCAAGCCAAATTCGAGTAATTTGTTACACAACTCAAAAGACTTGCGAGTCTCATCGAATTTAGTAGAACTTATACTTTAAATTTATATATAAATATATATAAGTAAATGATAAAAATATAATATTAAATGACAATGTTTATAATTTTACCAAGTCTAATCGAGCCTATCGAGTCGAGCACAAATGGCTCAATTATACTACGAGCTGAGTTTGGGCATGAAAAATAAAGGTTGATCAAACTTAAGTCAAACGTCAAGCTTTTGAATCAAGCCGAGTTCGAACCTGACAGATTACCGATTCAATTTGGCTCAATTATACTCTAATCTGGAGGCATCTATACCAATTGCTTACCTGAAAAGATAAGGCTAGTTTGTGATCTATGACAGATTTTTCAGCCACTTACTTTTTCCCCCTTCAGAAAGTGTTTTCCTGGCAACCAACTCTCATGGAGTTCGTATAAACCACAACCATTATATTCACTGATATGTTTAAGTTCCATACAACAAATTGTGTGCATGATTGTTGACTTTGTCTCCCTATCATACCAAATACTTAAATAAAACAGTAAAAAAAACTAAAAATAAAAATGTAGTACAGTGAACAAAAAGATTTCATCACTGGATGGCACTTTTATTAATCTGATTTTTTCATTATTGTCACAGGACTGCGGATACTGCCATCACTCGGCAAATAAAAGGTTAGAAACCATCTCCATAGCTAGAGCCTTTTGAGCAATCTTGCATGCAACTCTTCATTCCTTTCGTATCTACAACATGTTTAAAGTTTGTACACTTGTGAGACAAACAATCTAGGTCCAAGTCTGAAAGTGTAGCAGCATCATTGTAACAAGATTGTGTACATGAAAGAACACATGCAATCCCATTTTGTCCCCCTGGACAGTGAATAACACAATCCTTAAAGCATAAATCTTCTGCAGGTGTTCCCATCACTGTTTTTTCTGTTGCAAATATGAGCATCACAATAAGCACCATTGTAGTTGCCCTGCTGCTGCCTGAAGCCTCCATCCTGAATCTGATATACCTCTTTTGCATACTCAACCACGTTTTCTATACTTATATTTCTATGCCACCAACCACGTTAGATGCATACTTTAATGCATACGTAATTCCCGTGATTTGGATTGATTTTGAATCAAAGATCCATGCTATTTAGATTAGTGCACTGTTGACCAATTTGGAAATGAAATCTGAAAAGATTCTAACTTCCTTTCGTGGATAAATATGCAGATTGACCAAGATAATCTGTTTTGAATTGGAAATTCCCACGTGGTTGCTGCATGTATCCCCTACTCAAAAAATAGGGTTCGAATCCACCTTCTTCCAAAATTTAAAAAAAAAAAATTATAATATTGAAAGAATTACAGAAAGAATATAAGTTTATTCTAGAAAGATTCTCTTAAATTGAAGTTCATAAAGCTCACCATCCTTACAAATCCTAATAGCAATACATTGTTTCATTGAGAACTTAGAAACCATCAGATAATGACTATGTGTAGGACTAATAAGGATGTATTCCGACGAAATGCTATTTCTTTTAGGAGGACTATAATGAGGAGGACGACAGACCCAATCACGAGATAATAAAGGAAAAGAAAGGAACGTCAGATTGGTTCGAATCCAATTCGTGGTGAGATAACAGGAATCTGAAACTAAGAATGCCAATAATCTACTCCTTGACTCCGATTCATTCAAAACTTCTTGTGAGGAGACTCAGAAAAGACTGAAAAAATAGTTCACAGTGAACGTACGTAAATTCAAAAAGTCTTTGCCACTTTGAAAACAAGGAAGAAAGGAACTTTTCACTACCGATATACAAAGAAGGAGAAATGCTCATCTTTCTCTATATTATAAAGCACTCAAAATTTCAAAATTACAATGTAAAGCATAATGGAAATACAGTTGGATAGAACATAAAGTGAAAATATGAGTATAATTGAAATGACAAACTTCTGGAACAGGAAATAAAATCCATGGAGCTCGTTATCCAACCATAGCCATGTTTTTTGAAAGGAAAGAAATGGTAACCAGGCTGACAGTTCAATTCTACTTCATTTTCGTCCATACTGGAGCGGCTAACATCAGTGGAGTTGATGAAGCAGCTACTTAAGAGGGTAATCTGTGGTCAGTGCTCACATTTTTTGTTCGACCTTCAGGATCAATAAGCTACTAGAGACAGTAAAAGCTTCATAAGCCGTGTGGATTGTATTTAGACTTTGGTTATCACACATGCATAGGACTTTCCTCTGTACTCTCCTTGGATATGGTGATTAGGACTCCTTGGTGAACCATAATCTATGTAAAAATGAAAGCCTCTAGTGGTCCATGTGATTTCTATAATTTCATCCATCATTTCGTTTAGCTGACACCTGCTGTGAATAGTAAAAATTGCAGTTACCAGAGAAATCTGAGGCTATCGGCATGAAGTTCCTTACTACAGAGACATGATTCACTGGCTACTCTTCATTGTAAGGTTTAACAGCATGATTATGATGCAAATATTTTGGGACAAATAAAAGAAATCCTTGGTGAGTTCTGCTGGATTTATGTTTCTTATTTTGAGCATATGTGCTGAGTTTGTATTAGATGTGCTATGGCTGATGTCAGATATACAATATCCCCTTCAATTTTGTTACCTGTAGGGGGTGGAAGAAAGCATCGTTTGGTGAATTCATCACCTTACTAACGTATAAGAACTAAGTGAACTTTCAAACTAAGAATCCGTATCTTAACTCAGTTAGCTCATGCAGCCACCCTTAAGAGTTGATATTCAACAGGTCTAGATTCAAATCCCAACATCTGTGGCCCCTTCTCCTATCTTCAGGCTGTGACCTCTTTTGTATAAAAAAATAATGCTGAGTCACTACATTTTCATCATCAAATTGACATATTTTGTGAATTTTTCTGCACAGATATTTTATACATCTCTAATGCCAGTTGAAAGCAGACATCTTCTCCCTGAATTAGTGAAGGACAACAAATGACATAGAAGTAAAAATAGTGAGAGTCCATTTGTTATCACTTACAAAGAATTGCTTAAATTACTATAACAGTCTAATATTCCATGAATCTGAAGGATGTAGCACTAACTGCTTGCTTTTTTTATACATGTTGAGAAAACGATCATGTATTCTTGTGGTTCTGCTTCTGTACGGTATGAAGAGATTTGCAATTAGGCAATCTCCATGGCAAGATCCAACAAGAAATGGTTCCTGCCTTATTCCCTTTATAAAGTTTGGAAATGTCATTGTAGTCTGTCACTATCCATGAGATCAGACACTGTAATTTTGCCACAATTGCTATTGTCTAGTGCATCAAATTGGTTGCAGATTTGGAGGATGTCTTTCTCTGCTATCTTTCCCATCTCCTTGAGCTTGTAGATTACAAATTCAGATTTACTGCAACCATTAGAGAATTAAAATGATTGGATTTACATTCAGTAAATACCAGAAAATTGGTGTAAATATAAGAACCTGATAATGCTAATGTATTTACAAGAAGAGAGAAAAGTCCAAGTGGCCAGAACTGATATGGCCAGAACTCACTGTTCATCAGAATTTAATGTCTTTCTTTCGCCCCAAAAATATCTGCAACAATATCCTTCAATTAATCAATGTATCTTTTAGAATAACTCAGATTCCTCTATCCAAAAGTGTTTGCTTTCATTGGAGTTGTGAGCTTTTCTATGCATTCATGTTAAAAACATGCTGTATGATGGAGAATTGCCATTGTCATTCTCAGCAATTCTCAGCCAATGCAAGGTACTTTCAAGACTGATGCCCTGAGAGTTCCTTTATCATGTCAAAGATAAACTAAACCAAACAACCAAAATGCTTCAAAAAAAAAAAAAAAAAAAAAAAACCCAACTAAATGCAGAGTAGCACTTTAATTTGTTCTGTTTTGGTGATCTCATTAAACCCATTGATCCCAGGTTTAAATGAGCTAATTCTCTCATGTTCTTTACGCTGTGTTGCATGAATTGTTTGTAATATCATAATCATCCGGTCTACACCTGACAATTTGTATATTTTTATTGTATTTTACAGGAAAATTACATGTCTTGATATGAAAAATAAAAATACATTTTTTTTTGTTTTTATTAAACCTCTATATGGTTTTGGACTTTTTATTAAAATTTTAACCCTTAATCACTTTCGTGTCTTTTATTTTATTATTTTTGTGTCATGTATCTATATATATTTTAAATTGTCACATTTTAATCAGTCTGATAAATTAATTACTTACCGAAAACCTAAAGGAATATATATATACATATATATAGAAGTAGAATAAATTGGTCAAATAAACAGTGCAGATATATGGTAAAAGATCATTAGTACCTGATAGATCCATCATTGTCGAGGTCTGCAGCAACCAAATCCCCCAGTGTCATCTTTTTCTGAAGAACCCATCTTGCAATTTTGCGGCTTCTCTTGTCAATCCTAAGCTCTGTCAAGTATAGGAAGGCCCTGGCAACAGCTAATGTGCTTACTAGTAGCCAGACAATTGCAAAACACCTCCCTGTTACAGTCGTGAAAGCGAAATCGCCATAACCTACAGTTGTTACAGATGTAACAGAGAGATAAAAACTGTTAACCCAGTCCAAGTTTTCCAGAAAATGCACTGCTACTGTCCCAATAGCAACACAGCCGACGACAACTACCAGAGCCAAGCATACTTTCATTCTTATTCTCATCCTTCCTTTTGCTTTATCTATCATATATGTCTGAACCATTGTGTTGAATCGATTCTCATCGACTGTGCTCAAAAGAACCGACTCTTGTCTATCGCAAATGTAAGTAACCAATCCATTAAGCAAAATACCGATGAATCCGAAACCAATCAATATAAAGAAACAGGTGAAAAGCTTGGTAAATGTGGTGTCCGGGACAATATCTCCATAGCCAATCGTGCAGAGTGTAACCACAATGAAGTACAAGGCATCTACTGGCTTGAGAGTTTCAGTCCCCTTGAAACTTCCACTGCTCAGGTATATCAAAATACCAGTCAATATGTATAAAACCAGCCAAATGAAGGCTTGGCGGACGATGAAAGGAGTTGATTTTGATGGTTTTCTGTCTCCAGGATCTTGAAAAGCTTCCCTGACATCAGTGAAAACTGTTGGAGCAGAATGTGAACGACGAGTGATTTTTCTTTTCTTGTTCAGGTTGGCTATAAGGTTAACATAGGAGGAAGAATTCGGTGTTGTGATGATGGGGATAATGGCATCATTGGTGATGAGATGAGCGGTGGATTGGCGTCCCGCCGTGCCAAGATCAAGGTACCCGGAGGGGATCCGTATGGATGACCGTCGGCTACACTCTTCTTCTGGCCCTGTGTTAGGGAGAAAAGGTTGATCCATCTTGATTGACTATGCATGACATCAAAAAATAAGGCGCCGATTTTGACTGTATTGGTGACTAATTGCTTGTCCCGGACACAAGTTCCGGAAATCCTGAAAGTGAAAACTACTAGTCAAACCATTAATCAATAGGAGTTTGGTGTTCTTAGTGGTTCATCTAACAGTCATATGGGGGAAAGTATGGCCGCAGGTAACTAACTACTCAGAGTTTGGTTAAAATTTCACATGGAAGCTCTAATAGTTCCTGCTTTCCTGGAAAGTAAAGAAAAGGACAATTTGTCGGTGACATTACCAAAGAATACCTCAACTATTAAAATCAGAAAATAAGCATATTTTGATTCTCAAACTTGATTAATGGAAATTGTCTCTTATCATTGCTCAACATTTTACAAGATATGAACATATTGAGTGGGAATAATGATTTTATTATTGCATTAATTCTATAAAAAATGGTTGGGATGAACAAGAACGAGACACTTGAGCATTTGGTTTAATAGTGAGTACATGTATCCCTTAGTAACAAGGTATTTAGTTCGATAGGAAATACATGTATCCACACATATATCCTTTATTCATGGCGCAGGATCAGATCATCTTTCTCAAAATTGTACTTCAAGTATTTTTCTACTTGATCGAATCAGTTTAATGAGGTTCTCTTGGATTCCGGATTACTTTATTAGTACCTGCTAACATTCTGAAGAAATGTACATTTTTGTATTTATGGTTTGGACTTGGGTCCAAATTTTAGATCTGTCAACATGATTGTTTTCCCCATCTTTCATTGCTGTCTGCCAACATTATGTATGGAATGGTAAGATGCCTTTGCACACGGCTGATATATATATATATATATATATATATATGTAGGAGAAATGGGAACCATTATTTCCACTGCATTGATACTTGATAGCTTTGTTTACCTTCTGTCTCAATCTAGTGTATCTACATGGGAGCAAGCTGTATCCTATTGCAGTAAACAAACAGCCAGACAACTTTAAAATTTACATGGAGAAGGTGTGGTTTAATAACTAACTTTCCAAATTTTTTTAAAAAAATTGAAGGTGAGAGAAGCTTCTCTATAGAGTAAGAAGAAACCGCATGTTCCATAAAAGATTTATATTAGATTTACAAATCGTAAGAATTGCTGACAATAAGATCCAGACCTAAGCATTATAAAGTATCCGAACCTTTCCAATTCTACCAATCCTTGACTATATTCCCCTTTTGAATTTTATATTTCTCTTTCCAAAAATAAATAGATTCCTTTGATGTTAACTGAAGCAGCTCTTGATCCATATACTTTTCTGTAAGAGTTCAACAAAGTACTAAACCTTTTTTTTTTAAAAATAGAATGTACCAATATATATTGGATTGAACCAATAAGATCCAATCAAAATAAAGAACTATTAAAAGGATTTATTTTAAGGAGAGAAGAAAAGCACATAAACTCTTCTATTTCTCAGAAAGGAATAGCTTTACAAAAGTACAAGGCTCCCAGTTTAATTCCTTTACCCAAATCTCCACCTCAAGAATCCTGGACAAAAAGGAAGAGAGATTCAATAAATGGAATTCCAAATTTAAGAACTTAAACATTAAACTCTCTCCATTGAGTCACACATAGTTGGCTTTAATGTCACATAAGAATGCATAGTTCCTAAAGAACAGCAGCAACTGCAACCATCAGTTTATTTTTCTAGGATGAGATAGAGCATATCATAACTAAATTCTTAAGCAGGAATAGGCCTGATGATAGACTTTGCAAGAAATGGAACTAAAACGGAAAGGTTAGCTACAAATGATCCCTCAACCATAGGAAAATTTCATTGTGATACCTGAACTTTAAAAATCTCTAATGTATTATCTGAACTATAAAACTGTTAACTAATGTGGTATTTGGAGGTCTGTTTGCCCATCACATATCATGTTTTAGAGCTAACGACGTTAAGAGTTGAGTACCATATTAGTTAATAAATTCATAGTTCATTCAATATGACAGCTTACACAATTGGTACCGTGCTGTTGAAAAACTAGTGAGCACAACCCATCCAAGCAATGTGAACAATGGATTGCCTCTAAATGATTAGTAGGCCAAAGAAACTTCAACACTGGAGGCTGTCTTCAACATTTTCCTAATGCATATATATTTGTGAGAACTGTAAGAAATGTCACTTAATCATCATGTTTAACTCGATTAATATGCATTTTTGAAATAATAATAAACACATTGTTTTCATTCTTTTTTTTTTAATCTGTATTCACACTTATATATTACAATGTATTCTTTATATCCTTGAGATTATACATCTAATTAATCAACGAGTTAGATCAACAATCTTTATTAATCTGAACAAAGACACTTTTCAAACTGCTCTATAAACAAGATAGGAAAAGATCAGTCAATTCACAAACCAAAAGATACCAATTCAATACCTAATCAGACTTGACTCTTTGCAAGGCAACTCTCACTATGTCATGAGCTCATGATGTCCAGTGTCCTTCCAGTTCAAACACCTGCAATCAAGAGCTTTATTTTTAGTGACTATGGTGAAGATTTGTGGACCAATCTATTCATTCAACTAAACTTCTAAGCAGTGGAGGAAGAAAAGTATAATTTTCAGGTTACAGAAAAGTAGCCTCAATGAAAGAAACAAGTAGACTTATAACAGTTAAACGATTTAGTGCTTCATTGTGTCAATCTAGAACATCAAAACAGATTAAACCAGTAAGTTTGGCATTAGAATTTTCCGTCAGTACAATATTATATGAACTTTTTTTCCAAATACACACATCAACCATTAGAAATATGCATCTCTTATGCATGTGCTGAGGGTCTACTGATTAAAATGAAAGAATCTCTACATTACAAAGACCCATGCTATCATAACATATAGACTCATAAATTTATAGCTAAACTTAACAAGAAGAGTCACCATCAATCTTTTTTCAGGTGTGATTGACTATCTAATGAATCTATCCTTTCAAGGATCTCTTTGATTAAGGGTCCCTAAAAGAATAGATTATGGTCTATTGATCATAATAGGGTTCAAGAGTTCGGTTACATATGGAGAAGGTTATATAGCACCCTCACATGCCCATCCAAAAGATGGTACCATTTTATTTTAAATTATCCTAAGATCTTGATTCTAATGGTTTTAAATTTTAATGTTGAATATTAGAAATAATTTTTAAAATTTTTCATTAATCTGGTAAATTTCTTAAAAATATTTATTCATCTCAAGAGTATTCAAGAATCTCATTGTTTTTTGAAAAGACTTCATCGTTGGAAAAATGTTTAATCATTTTTTTATTTTGGTTATTTATTGAAAATATATCTAATTATTCCACAATTTCGGCCAAAATTAGAAATATCTTCTTACCTATAATTTTTTAGATAATCAACCATTCGCAATTACTAAGAATTTCATCTTCAGAATTTTTTTTTATTTTTATTTCTAAATTTTTTATCATTTAGGTCTATTTAGAAATTCTCTTTTTTTTATATATATTTGGAAAGAAAATAATATGACAATGATTTTCTTGAAGTTTCATTTAAATTCTTCCACCAATATGGACAAATTTAAAGAAATTTCTCATCTAGAGATTTATTAGAAAATTTACCATTTGAAATTTTTAAGATTTTCATCCCTTGATAATTGTTAAATATTTTCAACCAGAAAGTTTTTTTTGTTTTAATTTTTTATTATTGTTTTTTAAATTGAAAATAAATATTAATTATTGTTATTAAAACTTTATCTAAATTATTCCACCATTCGAGACAAATTTTAAAAAAAATTTATCACTTAGGAATTTCTTATAAATTTACCATTTGAAATTTCTAAATATTCCATCATTAGATAATTATTATTTATTCTTAAAAAAATTTTATTTTGTTTTATATATTTTTATTTTTCCTAAAATTTGATCATACAAAAATACTTTGAAAATAATCAAACAAATAAAATAAAAATACCAAAACAAGAAGCGGCTCAGTTGTAAGAAGAAAAGCTAGAACAACTTGGGACGACGGCTCGGCTTGGCTTGAGACAAAGGTTGGATGTGGGTCAAACGTGGGCCAATGCTTGGGTCAGGTTAACTAGGTAATAAAACGTACGGATCTTAGGCCTTTTTAATCTTCAAAATGACGTCGTTTTGCGCTTATCTAAAAAGCTAAAATCTTCTTTCTTTTTTTCAAAATTTTTTCTTCCCTTTCTCTCTCTTCTTTTTTTCTTCTCTTTTTCTCTTTAAGACCGATGAATGTCAATGCCATTTTCTAGGATTCCTCGTAGGAATTTAGAAAAATCATCAAAAATTGGAATTTTCACCGAAAATTTCAAATCTTGCTGGAATATAAAATCGAAATATGAAAAAATTCATTGGAATCTAAAAAATTTTTGATTTTTTTCAAAAAAAATTCAAATTTTTTTTAATTTTTTTAATCTTTCTGCTTTTTGTTGTATACATTTTTTTGCCTACTCTCATATGTATTTTTTCCTCTTTCTATGTGTTTTTCTATGTGTATTTCTATGTTTGATGTGAGTTTGTATTTATAGGGTTCTAATCCAAAAAACCTTAATTAAAAAAGGAATCACATTTTCCTTTGAATTCCAACTTTAAACCTAACTCAAACTTTACAATCCAATTCAAACAATTTCACACAAATTCAACCACCTATTTTTTCATTTTTTATTATTTATTTTTTAATTAATAACAATAAAAAAACTCCAGACAATTTTGGGTGTCAATAGTGCCTTTCTTTGCACATTTTCTGTGAAATAGAAATTGTGCAAAGACATAGACAACACAATCAAGAATCAACTTGACATATTTTTTTTTAAGCAAACTCAAACTTCTTGAATAATATAAAAACTCCTCTAAACAGAGGTTCCACAAATTTTGAGAAATAAATAAAGCTCTTTTAAGTAGAGGCTCAACAACTTTGAAGAATAAATAAAGCTCCTTCAAGTAAGACTCAACAACTTTGAAAACTAAATAAGGCTCTTTTAAACAGAGGCTCAACAATTTTTGAAAACTAAATAAGGTTTCTCTAAACAAAGGCTCAATAACTTTTGAAAAATAAATGAGGCTTCTCTAAATAGACGTTCAACGACTTTGAAAACAAAATAAAGCTCCTCTAAACAAAGGCTCAATGACTTTGAAAAATAAATAAGG